TGATTAAGATATGTCCTCTCCTTGGATCCTTGTGCTCATTCTATAATAATGGTTTTATGCAGTATTTGTCTTTATGAGACTAAGTTCATGTAGCATAATGTCCTCCAGTCACTCCCATGTTAAGTAGTAATTTACAAAATCATTGTTCCTGTGTGCATAGTATTCCATTGTGTGAATGTCCCATAATTTCTCAATACATTCCATTGTCATTGGGCATTTGGGCTGTTTCCATGTTCTTGCTACAGTGAATAACATTGCTATGAACACTGGTTATATAAGTCTCTGTTTGTGCCTCAGTTCTCATTTTCTCAAAGAATATACCAACCAAGTGGAAAAGCTGGGTCATATGGAATTTCTGTGTTCAGGAATTTCTTAATATAGAAGAGCTGTAGAGAATAAGACTGGAGAAACCAGCACAGAGCATCATGCTCACACACAGAATCTCACTTAAAGACCTTTTAATCAGAAAAAGTGTACTTAGAAAAATCAATAAAAATAAGCATAAAGAGATAACCCACCACCTTGTCAAGAGAAAAACAAAGAACTGAGTCAATGTCTGAAAGACTGAAGGAAAAGCTACGAGAGCTTCAATCTCATCATGGTGAGTGTGTCCGTCACACAGAAGTTGTGTAAGCTGAAGCAAAGGAGAAGACCCCACTCTTTCAGACTTTGCCCTCTGATGCAAGTGAACTGTCAAAGGAGAACACTCATCTCCAGGAGCAGTTGAAGACCTGCAGACTCTGGAGAAGAATTCACAAGCCTTGTTTTTGGCAAAAGGTGAGATTGAAAATCAAGTTGGACAAATGAGTCAAGAGAGAGACGTGCTTGTTAGGGACTTAGAAAGCTTGCAGAACAAACTGGCCGAATCAGAAGATAAAAAGATAGCCCACTCCAAGGCCTTGGACGCTGTCTTAATGGATAAGGTGAAATTTCCACAAGACTGAGCTTTAACACAAAAGGAAGTAAATTTTTTAGGAGATGAGTGATAGTGTAAGTTTTGAATTTATATTAAATTCCACTATATGTACAAAACCATTTTTCCTAGAAATAGTTTTTGCATTGGCAGATGTAAAGGAAAGCAAAATATTTTATCCTGAATTTTGCTTCAGTAACTTTGGGACAAATTTAAAAAATCCTAAAACTCTTAAAAAAATAGGTATGTTGGTCCCACTTCATGTTCAAAAGGACCCATTTAAAATATATGTTCTTTCTTCTACACCTGAATTCACAATCAATAGAAAAATAAGACATAGGAAACTTAAAGGCAAGGAGTTATTAAACTTAGTTTTATTGTTAATAAACTAGTTGAAGAAAGTAAACATTAGCTATGTGAACCAAAGATCCTATTAATACTGTACCAACTTTTAGGGAGCTCTGGAGACCTAGTGCCAAAAAGTTGCACTGTTAAGGCAAAGACAGGTTCAAATATTCCAGCTACTCTACAGAACAAAATGGGCAATCTCTTCCCATGAAATTTTGAGCCTCTGAAAACGTATTAAAGGGTCAGCCCTGGATCAGTGCTGAGAGGAGGGCACATAACAACAACAAAACCTGCCGGAGGGTCAGCTATGCATCAATTCTAACTCCACAGTGCAACAACAACAATAACTACAAACCACACTCTTAGGGAGCACTAGTGGCCTAATCCATACAGAGCTGGAAGCTACTACAAAGATAGCACATCTCTGGTGATTCAAATTCATCAATATCTCAGGAGAAAGCTAGACAATCTCCTCCCCTGTGATATACAGCTCTGAAAATCTACTGGAAGGTCAGTTATGGGCCAGTTTCAACTGAACCGCACTCTTCCCTGAGCCTCTTCATCACATAATTTATATATAAAGTCTACCTCAGCATATACAAACTGCTGAGGAAAGTGGAAAGTTTATAATTGACCTAATTAGATTGTTGTTGTCATTTAACAAACTAGATAATTGGCTTTTTTGTGACTAAGAGGAGTGGCACTGGAGGCTGAAAGTATTATTCCAGCAGAGATATTATTACACAGAAACATGAAGCCAGAAGAAAGAATTTCAATTCTAGATCCCACATTCAACATAACTGAAGCATGTTTAAGATAGTGGAGAATTCTGTATCTTAAATAGAGTTTCACAAAAGAAAGACTATTTGGAATAGCTCTTTGCTGCTTGTTGACTTGGTGGGTATGACTCAATGGCAGAGACGTCTCCCCTCTTATTCCTTGTTCAGTAAAAGAAGGAGTTGTGACTAGTCTAGACAAAGAAATGTATGAAAAACTAGTGTCATCTCTAGATTAAAGCAACGAGAAGTTATTGCAAACTTGGTGCTCCAGTTTCTCTTTTTGCTGTAGTAAAGGAGGTCTTACATTTCAGATGGTGCAGTTGTTACATAAGATTGTGCCTCTATCAACCTAGATCCTAAGTGAATGGGCAACAAAAAGTTCCAAGAGACAAAGCTAGATCCTTGGGGGAAATGAGAGAAAGGAACTTTTTCCAGAATGCAAGGTAAAGTCTGAATGCAGGAACATTCCACCTCTGCAACTGGAGACCTACCAAATATCCGCTCAGCAAATTTCAGAGTTTCGCTCATCAGTGAATGCTATGCAACTCTCATTCCTACCCTTCCAAATGAGAATGTTACTAATTTTATCTTTATCCTGTCTTCTGACATCCATTTTTCCTTATTCCTACCACTGTGTAGGGAACTCTGGCGGATGAGTGATAAGGAGTTGTGCTGCCAACTCAAAGGCACGTGGTTCAAATCCACTAACTGTTCCACAGGAGAAAAAATGGGCAATCTTCTTCCCGGTTATTTACAGAAAACCTGCTTAAGAGTCAGTTAAGAGACAACTGCCATTCAATGACACATTAACAACATCAACCATTGTGTTTAGAGTGTGAAGGATGCCTATAATCTGATTTTTTTTAGGTTCACAGGTCTCTGAAGTAAGAGTGGCCACATAAAAACCTCATGCAGAGACTCTCAAAGGATCACTCAAAGATCTCAAACTTGAAGCTCATTGACATGACTGGATGTTTCCTCCCTATGAAGAGACTTGTGAATATTATATTTGGGTAAAGGAGAGCAAAGGCATGTTAGCAAATAGAAACTAAGGTGTTTCTCACTATTCTTCAAATACACTTCTTTATGCATTAAAGGCATAGAGAAATTTTAAAAAAATCAAGTGTGTGTGACATCAAAGCATAAACGTGCCTACTTTAAGAACATAAGAGAACGCCAGAGAATTGTGACAATGTTTCTCACTGAACATTGTGGTTACACAAGGCAAAGTAACTATATCTGGCCAACAAGCTGTGAGTGGAGATGATTCTCCAGTTATGTCTTCCTGTGGCAATATAAATGACTGAGAAGACTTTGTTTGATCTAATGGTTACAAAGTTTAAGCATTTTTTAAAATCACTGAGGACTGTTATTTCCTAAAAAATCACTTGAAACTACAGACATGTGAAAAAAAAATAAATTTCTGAGATTTGTGGTAGTTTCTTTTTTTTTTTTGAGGCATTACAATTTTTTTTTATTATTATTAATGAACATTTACAGATATTTTGGATTTCCATTCATTCATTGTAACATAATCTAACCTATCATGTTCTATACAAACACCAATGAGTAAGACTTTTAAATTCCTCAGAAAGAAGTCCTGACTCTATTTTTCTTCTCACTTCCTGGCCTCCTCCTAGAGGATGTTGAGGAAGAATAGGGCAGAGTTTCATTCTGACGTACGTAGATAGCATTGATACAAATTGGAACTAGCTTGAGGGCATCTAACAACAATCTAGGAGACTTCAGCTATTCCCATGGCTTCAATTCAAGAACTCCAATGGTTTAGTGGTAAGAATAACACTGCCAGCACAAAGGTACATGGTTTGAATCCACCAGCTGCTCCATGGAAGAAAGATGAACAATCTCCTTCTGTGTAATTATTGCCTCAAAGGATACTCTGGAGGGTCAGCTATGGGTTGATTCTGGCTTGATGATATACAAAATGATGATGACAACAACAACAACAGCAGCTTGAAATGCCAGCCATACAAGAATGATACTACTGTAAGTTTTCTTCAGACATTTCCATATTATACTTCTTCTAAGTTGTTGTGCCCCTGTCATTGTCAAAAGAACACCAATTTTTATGGAGGGAAAATGTATGTGGCTAACCTCTGCCATTTGTATGTAAATATCTAGCTTCAGCCCATGACTTTGTTTTTGAACTTTAGTCACAGAACATCAAACCATGTACTCAACACAAGCATAGGTATCTCAAACTTAACATTCTAATCTACTCTTTCTGATAGTGAACATGGCATGTGCCCAATATAACATCATCTTTGACTACTATGTTTCACTCAACATCCACAATCAATCCCTCATCAAGGTTTGTCAACCACTGAAATAAGAAAATAAAAATAAAAAGTAAAAAAGTGTACCACTTTCACATCTAGTTCATTAAAATATCATCTCTGTGTTTCTCCATATCTTTTCCCATTTAATCTTGGTGACTACAATAGAAGACAGCAGAGCTCCTGTCAGTCTGAGTCTTGGAATAATTGTGTGTAATTTCTCAGGTTTTTAACCCAAACACACTTATTGACACTAAGTTACTCCGAATCACTTAAGTCTCTTCATATTTTAGGTCTAGGCTTATACTATGATTCATTAAGAGGCCATTTGTCACCTATTTCATCCCATCTTAAGTTAGTTGTCTGACATTCTTTCCTTCAGCATGTATTGTCTCCTGTTACTATTGCTTTCATCATAATGCATAGTCACATATTAATTTGTACATATATTTGCTTGAAGTCTGTAACTACAGGTGGTCCACAATGTACATGGAATTATAATCTCTTCTCTATCATGGTATGCACAGAGTCTGCAGACTACCTAGCATTTAATTTTAAAATGCAGAGGCTGGAAAAATGAAAGTTACTAGTAAGAGAATTCATCATGATAACTCAATTTTAGACCAAAAATAATAGATAATTAAACCATACAACATAAAGATGTTTTTTAAACTTTATTCATTTTGAATGCATTTCTGAGCCAATTAACAACCAAGAGGAAACACTAAACTTTGAAGTAGTATTAACAAGGTGAATAATATAACTGCATTGTCTCTATTTGTACAAGTAAGACATTGAGTCCCATTCCTTCAAAAGCTCCTTGGTAAACATTTACATTTTCTTCTCATCAAAAATGTATTAACAACTCATGCTTATATAGCCAGTCAGCACAAGAAAACATATGACAGTTTATACTGAACTATTTAAGTCTTACACACAGTGCTCACAACCTCAAGCCGTATGTATTGACCTTCTCAATGGTATTCGTTACGTGACATTGCCACAACTTCTATCAGAAGGACTTCACTAAGTTTTAAAAGCTAGAATTACTCAAAAAGTTCTGCATTTTAAATAACACACAGAATATTGCATTTAAGTTCAAGCTAGTAAGATCACTTATAACTTTTCTATAGTCTTCTGCACAATGTATTTCGGAAAACAAATGTTCTATCAGAGAACAAAATAGATAGTGTTCTTAATTTTTTTAACCTAAAAGTCTAGTTAGTATATTTGAAGTAATGTTTAGTAATAGCTAATGATTAAAAATAAATCAATGTTAAATATTAACTGCACAATGTCTAAAAGAAAATTACTATATTGTGTTATAATATGCTATATATGATATAGTAAAAGAAGTTAATTAGAAGTCTTCCTAAAAATTTAAAGTTTCTGACATCATTTTCCACCATTCCATCAATTCTTCCTTTTCTTCTTCTTTCCTTTCAGAAAATGACTCCAGTTCAAAATCAACCTAAATCAAACAAAACCAAGAAAACACTGTCATCAAATTTCATATGTAGTTGTAAAAACTGAAATGATAATTTTTACCGTTTCCAAAGTAAGCTTATTTCAGTCATCTAAACTAAAGTAGACCCTAAAAAGTCTCCGAAGTAGACAAAAAGATACTTGCAGAACAAAAAATATAAAAATCACCATAATTGAAATATGCTCTGATTTAATAGCTTTGTAAGACTACTTAAAACAAAATTCTATGTCCTAGTATTGTTTATTCCATAAAAGACATGACATAATTCTTTTTCTGTTTGTGACTATGTAGGTCAATCTTAAATGGTCACCTATTAACTAGAAGAATGTAGAATCATCCAGTTCCATGATTCTAAAACACAAGGGTCTGTTTTTCAGAAACTTGAAATCTATTAGAAGAAACTGATATAATTACATACATCTCCTAACCATCATAAAATCAGTGGCCAAGGAATTCAACTCCTGTTTCTATCTTTCACCTTTAATATGTTTGTGGAAAATTCATATACTCCCACATAAAGGGGTATTCAAAATACATACATGTTGTTAGCTTAAAAGTTGCCTCTTCTAGTCATTACATTAGCCACATCTGGTATTCAGCTACCTTAAGTGTAGACACATGTTCTTGCAAATCAGAAACAGCTGTGGGACTGGGATGAAGGAGAACTTTTCACACTGAGTAGCACGACTTGAGGGAGTCTGGTGCAAGACCCAGGTGAAAGTGATGACCCTGCGAGAGTGAGATCCAGTGAGACTGAGATGGAGCGGGACCCTGGCGAGAGCGAAACCCTCATGATGACGATGGTGGAGATATTGTAGAGACTGTGGAATTGCTGTGGAGACACTGTGGCAAGGTGACTGAAAGAGAAAGTGGTTTATAACTGCTCTGAGGCAGATCTTGATAGATATTTTGGATTTGTGCTGCTGAACTGAAACTAGGACTTTTACTAATTATGGAATTGTGGTTTGCTATTAATCTGGCTTGGGCCTGCTGGGCTAAACCTGGATGTGTATTTTGAGATATTCTTTGCCTCTCCCACTCCCTAACCTATTTCCCTTTTAAACTCCACTGTTGGTATCACAACTGTGAGTAAAGTCTGTGAGCCATCACCAAATATCAAACCTAAATGATTGGTAGAAAGAGGTGCAGGAGCTTGGGGGGTGGTATTTCTGACCAAGCACCTAATCTATTTGCTGCTATGGATGCAATTATGAGGGCGATATCCCTTCATGAAATGTTTAGAAGTCAGATTTGGCCACAGCCATCCCCGTGTCCCATCTGTTCCTTTTGCTATGTACCTACGAAACTAAAGTCAATATTGCCTAGATCTTCAAGATTAACCATTCCCCAATTTCAGGTGGGACTGAAAGCCCTTTATTTGACCTTTAAGTTCCTGTATTTAGGGATGTGGTTATACTCACTATCATGTGTAGCATATGCTAGAAAAGGTAAAGATGAGAACAGCTGAACTCTTTATTACCTGTTTCTGAAGCTACTTTTGGCCAAGTATTATTTGCCTAAATATGTCTGATTTTAATACATAGATAAATTCATGCACATATCACAATCAAAACCAAATGCCATGTTAAAACTGTGGTGCATTTTCTGCAAGGCTTTTTTTTTTTACTCCTTAGTAAACTAACCATATGATTGTCCAATTTAAAATGAGCAAATCGGTCCATTTCAGCTTACTAATTGCAAGGACATCGATCTTCAAGCATTCCAATTCATTCTGGACAACTTATAATTTTACTAGATTCATACTTCATATATTCCATGTTCTAATTACTAATAGATGTTTGCAGCTTTTTTCCTCATTTGGCAATATGCCATATCAACAAAGGAAGGTCCCAAAAGCTTTACTCCATTCATGTCATGAAGGTTAACTCTAATTTGTGGAGACAATTCTTCCCTAATTGTTGTGTGTGTGTGTGTGTGTGTAGTGTAGTGTGTGTGTATGTGTGTGTCCTTCACCCATAGGAGTTTATCTTTTAGCAATATCTTGGACAATATTCTTTTGCTCTTCATGAGGTTTTCACTGGTCAATAATTTTAGAATCAGATCTCTAAACCCTTTTATCTAGTCTTGTTTACGTCTGGAAGCTCTGCTGAAACTTGTCTACCATTGGTGACCCTTGCCAGTATTTGAAATATGGATATAAAGCTTTCAGCATCACAGCAACACAATACACAAGGTACAGCATTACAACAAGGTGGCAAATAGTTTTGATTATATTAGGTTCTTAACAAGGGATTGGTGATTGGTTAAGGCCAAAAATTAACTTGTAGGCATCATTTCTTCGAATATTTACCAAGTAAGTTTGAACTCATCAGTTGTTCCATACTCAACAATCTGTTCTCATAAAGGTTACAGCCTAGGCAACCCTATGGGGAATCCTACCCTTTCCTGTAGGGTCACGGTGAGGTGGAATAAGCTGCATGGTACACAGCTGCAGATAAAAAGATAAATCCCATTTATATTGAAATCAAGGTCAGTGCATAAATGTTGTGTGCTTTTCAGTATTATTTTCTTTACTTCCTTGCTGTTGTTGTTGTTATATGCTGTCAAGGTGCCTGCACTCATAGCAGCTCTATATACAACAGCTCTAAACACTGCTTATCTTTTTTTATTTTTTTAATTGATATTTTAACAAAATTTTATAGGGAACTTGGATTTCAATTCATACATTGTTGCACATCTTCCTCTCTACCTAACCCCACAGTTCACTTTCTCTTTGAAAAAAAATTATTTCATCACAATTTCCTCTTGCCTCTGGCCCCCTCAGTCCACTTTGCCATGCAGCTCTTATTTTGGACTGTTGTCATACAAATAATGCCTAATCACATATTCCTTTTAAACAGGTCTTTCCCTCATCTGTTTCAATGCAGTGTACATTATTTATCCCCTCTTTTCTTAGTTTCCCCCAAACCCCATGTCAGTCCTGTTTTATAACAGTAGCATTATGCAGTATTTGCCTTTCTGTGATTGAGATATTTCACTCTGCATAATGTCCTCCAGGGTGATCCATTTTGTATATTATGAGTTCCTTGTTTCAGTGCTGCATAGTATTCCATTGTGTGAATATACCACAGTTTCTCTATCCATTTGTTTATTGATGGGCACTTGGATTGTTTCCACCTCTTTGATACTGTGAAAAGCATAAGTGTACACATATCTCTTTGGTTGGCAATTCTATTTCCAGTAGTGGAATTGCTGGGTCAAATGGTATTTCTATTTCCAACTTTTTGAGAAAGCACCATACTGCCTTCCATAGCGGTTGCACAGTTTTATACTCCCACCAACAGTGACTACAGGTTCCAGTTTCTCCACAACCTTGCCAGTATTTGGTGTTTGCTGTTCTCTTAAATTTTGCTATTCTTACATGGATGAGATGATATCTCATTGTTGTTTTGATTTGCATCTTTCTTAGAGCTAGGGATTGTGAACACTTCTTAATGTGTTTGTTTGTCATCTGAATGTCTTCTTTGGTGAAGTGTCTGTTCATAACCTGTGCCCATTTTCCACTTGGGTTGTTTACCTTTATCTTGTGGCGCTTGAGTATTTTATAAATTCTAGATATAAGTCCCTTATCAGGTATGTCATTACCAAATATTTTTCCCAGTATGTGTCTTTCCTTTTGACACTGTTGGAGAAGTTTTGATGTGCACAGGAATTTGATACTTAGAAGGTCCCTTTCATCTATTTTATTCTCTCCTGGTTGTAGGTTTTCCAGGATGGTTGGGAGACTGTTCATGTTGTGGATTAGGGCTTTTAGAGTCCTTCCAAGCTTTTCTCTGATGAAGTTTGTAGTCCTTGGTTTTACTCCTAGGTCCTTGATCCACTTTGAGTTGGATTTTGTGCATGGAGCAAGGTGTGGGTCTTGCTTGAGTTTTCTATAGATCGTTTTCCAATTTTGCCAATATAATTTGTTAAAGAGGCTTTCACTTCCCCACTTAATTGATTTCATCTCCTTGTCAAAAATCAACTGACCATAGGTAGATAGGCTGATTTCTGGGTTATCAGTTCTATTCCATTGATCTTATCAGTTCTATTCCATTGATCTATGCGTCTGTCATTGTATCAGTACCACACTGTCTTGACCACTATGGCAGTGTAGTAGGATTTGAAATCAGGGAGTGAGATGCCTCCTACCTTTCTCTTTTTAAGGAGTTCTTTGCTTATTCAGGGTCTCTTTCCATTTCAGATAAAATTGGAAATTATCTTTTCCATTTCGTTGAAGAATGGAATTGGTATTTGTATCGGGATTGCATTAAATGTGTACATTGCCTTTGGTAGAATTGTCATTTTCCCAATATTGAGTTATCCAAGAGCATGGTATTTTCTTCCATTTTTTTGTTTCTTGTAATAATTTTTTTGTAGTTTTCTTTGAATAGATCCTTTGTGTTTTTAGGTAGATTTACTCCCCAAAATTACAAGCCCTGCTTACCTTGAGCCAATTTCTTTGTCTCTGACATATCTAACCCCATTACCCAAGTCACTAAGTCAATCCATCCATCCAATGTCTTCCTCTCTTGTGCTATCATCCCACCCTTCCAAGCATGGTGTCCCTATCTAAGAACTGGCCCCTCCTGGGAACATGCCCAAAGTATGTCAGACAAAATACGGTTTCAAAATCCTTGCCTCCAAGGAGCAGCCTGGTTTTACCCTCTCTAGGATAGACCTGTTTCTTCTCTTAGCAGTTCATAGTATATTCAAATACTCTTCTCCAGCACCACAACTCAAAGGTATTGATTCTTCTCCTATAATGCTTAGTCATTGCCCAGCTCTTTTAGGCATAGTAAGTAACTGCAAAAGCCATGGCGTGGATCAGTCGCACTTTAGTTTTCAACCTGACACCTTTGCTTTTCAGTACTCTGCAGTAGTCTTTGACAGTAGATTTTCCCATTGTAATTCATCTTTTTATTTCCTTCATGCTGGTACCAAGAATGTTGATTGTGGTGCCAAGCATGCTGAAGCTGTTAGCAATTTCAATCCCTTATCCATCTATCATGATGGTGCCAATTGGTCCAATAGTGAGGATCTTGTTTTCCTGATGTTGAGTTTCAATCCATATTGAAGGCTACAGTCCTTGACCTTCTGCAGCAAATGCCTTATGTCCTCCTCAGTTTCAGCAAGCAAATTTGTGTCATACCCATAAAACATGTTGTCAGTGAGTCTTCCTCCAATCATGATGCCACATTCCTCTTCATAGAGCCCAGCCTCCCTGATGATCTGTTCCACATATAGATTTTAAAGGTATGGAGATAGGATGCATCCCTGACACACATATTTCCTAATTTTTGACAATGCAGTGTTTCTTTGCTCTGTTCTGATGTCTGCCTCCTGGTGCAAGTAAAGGTTTTGCACAAGCACAGTCAAGTGTTCTGGGATTCCCATTCCAATCAGCCAGTTTGTTGTGATCCACACAGTCAAATGCTTTTACATAGTCAATGAAACACAGAAAAAGTAAATCCTCTACTATCAAGGCAATATCAATTCATAGCAATCTAATTCATAGAACTAAGTAGAAGCTCCTCATAAAGTTCTCAAGGAAAGGAATTCTAGTGCTGTATTCTATGTTGGGCTGATAACTATAAGGAAGATGGTTCAAATCCATAGGAGAAAAAATAACTAATATGCTCTCATTAATATCTATTGCCTCAGACACCCAAAGGAGGGTCACTGTGAGTCTGAATTTACTGGACGTCAGTGAAGAGGTAATTTTTATGAAACCACACTGTTACCTGTTTTTTCCTTGCCAACAAGCTGGATCACTGACCCTTTAGTTAGCAGCTATTACTTAACCCTTATACCATTAGGACTTCACACTCAGTGTTATTCCCAATAATTGTTGTTGCTATCAAGTTGTTTTCAACCCATATCAACTCAAATGTACAACAAAATGAGGTACAACACAATCCTTTACCAGCCTCAAGTTGTTACTATGTCTGACCCCTTGTCGCAACCACTGTGTGAATGCACCTTACTTAGTTAGGGCCTCCCTCTTTTTTGCTGACCCTCTACTTTATCAAGCATGCTGTCTTTCTTCTGGGACTGGCCCCTCCTGATAAAATGCCAGAAGTTCATAAGACAAAGTCTTGTTATACTTGCTTCTGAGGAACATTCTTGTCTACATTTCATCTAAGACAGATTTCTTCATTCTTCTAGTAATTGATGATACAAGATTCTTCAAGAACACTATCATTCAAAGGCATCAATTGTGTTTCAGTCTACCTTATGCATTGTCAGGTCTTCTCGTGTACATGATGTGATTGAAAATATTATGGTTTGGGCTAAGTGTACCAAAGACGTATTCAAAGTGTTATCTTTGCTTCTTAACACTTTCAAGAGGTCTTCGCAGCATATCTGTCCAAAGTAATACATCACTTTATTTCTTTACATTGAGTGTTATGAATCATGAAATGAAACTCTGGGGAAATTATGTAAGTTTAATACACTTCTGTTTTCACATATGCTAAATTAGTACAGTAATGTCATAGGTTGTTATGAGAGTTAAAATACAAATCACTTAAATATGTACATTTTCAGACAAATAACTTGAGCCTTCCAGTTCAAGTGCCAAATACCAAGTACAGTGTGCTAATAATATCTTTATGATTAATTGAGTACAATAAGCAGTTGATAAATATACATAAACTAATCCAAGACGGCATTAGACTATAAATCTAAAGACGAGGGTAGTGCCCTCTTTCACAAGCCTTGTGGTGAATTTCATATCAAAATGCAAATTCAAATAAGCAGCTTTAATTCTGCTGAGGCTTCTCCCACTTTTTTTTTGTTTTCCTAAGGTGGGAGAAGTAGTTTGAAACCAGTTGTTTGTGGCATTTAGCTGTTAACTAAGAGTTTGCAGGAAAGAAGCTTGAAGAAAATGTGGGTTTAGATTTTGCAGTCCTTAGAAGCAGAGATGGTTTAGGGCTCTTGGTCTAGCATAACCTATATCTCTACTGAAAGAATAGGCATTCTAGAATGAGTGGAAAGAAAAGGCTGATAGGATTGTTAATGTGGAGAGAGGTAGGGTGTGATGATCTATTAAGAAGTCATGTTAGTTCAGTGTTGTTTGTTGATGGGACTTCAGTGAGTGATGCTGAGTAAACTAATTATCTTCAGAAATATATGTGTAGGAGAGCTATTACAGTAATTGTTTATGGTATAATTAGGCTGTTGCTTTCTGTTATTTCTTTGATGAATAATCATTTTAGAGAAAAGCTCAAGAATGGTGGGGGTCCTCCTATTGACATGAGGGTCGTCAGCAGAGTCAGTATTATAAGTGGACCCTGGATTGGGTTTTTACTCCAGTTTGTAGCTAGTGAGAGGAGAATAGTGGATCAGTTGATTAGTAAAATAAACATTGTTAAGGTGAGGAGGATGTAGATTATTACGTTTAACAGGGCTATTGCTGGGTTCTAAGTAATAACAGCTGCTATTCAACCTATGTAGGCAATTGTTTCACTCTCTCCGGGACAGACTTGTTAGTTCTCTTGGCAGTCCATGGTATGTTCAATACTCTTTTCTAGCACCACAACTTAAAGTCATCAATTCTTCTGTCATCCTTGGTCATTGTCCGGCTCTTTCGCATAGCAAGTAATTGAAAAGACCATGGCCTGCATCCTGCACACCTTAGTCTCCAAAATGACATCCTTGCCCTTCAGCATTATGGAGAGGTCCCTGACAGAAGATTTTCCTAATAGAATTCACCATTTGATCTGCTAATTGCTAGTGCCAAGAATGTTGATTGTGGAACTGCGTAAGCTGAAATTGTTAACAATCTCAATATCTTCTCCAACTATCATGATGCTGCCAATTGGCCCAGTGGTGAGAATCTTCTTTTTCTTGATGTTGATCTTCAATCCATATTGCAGACCACAGTCCTTGATCCTCTGCAGCAAATGCTTCAGACCCTCCTCGGTTTCAGCAAGTTAGGCTGTGTTGTCTGCATAACGCAAGTTGTTGATGAATCTTCCTCCAATCCTGATGCCATATTAGGCCTAGGTTTATATTAATTACGTAGAAGGACATGGGTAAGAGGATTCATATTGTTAAGGCTAAGGTTACAGCTAAAATTGGGGCAATAGTAAATATGAGGATGGAAGATGTAATTCGACATAAGGATTCTTTAATAAAGAATATTAATAAATTATTTTAAAAATTTTTAAAATACATTTATTGCATCTGTGATTAGCTGGAAAAGGCTGTTTGGGACCCATGATGTTAGGATCTCTGCATAATTGTATACACTCAAGCACTTTACGTTTGATTAGTGTTAGGAATGCTACTGTTAGCAGGATTAGGCCAATTAGTGAGATCAGTTAAATTAATTAGGAACATTGTTAGGAAGAGTTGTTGAACCTCTGGATATAGACTTAAGTCTTATGCAATTTCCAGGCTCTGCCATATTAGCATGTCCTGCTCTAGGGCAGAGTTATGATTCATATGATAAATTAGGATAATATCATATATTTATTTCTAGAGAGCTCATTTTAAGTTGGCTCCATTTCTCTTGTCCTTTTGTACTGAGAGAAACATAGTCTGTGTAGAAACTGACTTGGATTACTCTGGTCTGAATTCAAATCACAAAGGATTTTAACTGTTGAACAAATGAACCATTCATAGCTGCTGCACCATTTGGATGCCCTGATCTATCATCATAGAGGTCATAAACCATATTGTCTATGTGGACGCTAAAACAGAAGTGTGCTGTTAGCCCTAGGGTGATTTGTTCCATTCATCAAAAGATTGGGTCAATGAGATGTTTAAACTTTGATCTATAGGATCTTTGTAGACTATCATTTGGAAGTGTGTTTTGGGTGTGTTTTTTTTTTCTCCAGGGTCACCCCAACCAAAATGTCTAGCTCAGTAAAATAGATAGTAGATCTGGGTGGTTTATTACTTTCTTTATTGCGTTAGCTAATTAAAGCTTCAAAGGGTCGTCTCATCTTATAAGTTCATTCCTGCCTCTTCACTGGAAAGTCAAGTTCACGGAATGGACATAAGAGATAGTTGAATCTTCAGTAAGCCATTCTTAGAACTCCTTAATTAAAGAACAAATGACTATGCTAGCTTTGCAGGGTCAGAGAACTGTGGCTACTAAACTAGTTACAGCTAACCTTGAGAGAACTGAAACACCACTTTAACAACCACAATAGCAATAACAAAGTATGTTGGATGTCTGACAAGTGTTATTAAATCTTGGTTATGGTCATAATCACCTACCCCAACGGCAGGGCTGTAAGGAATGGCCACTTTCTTTGTTATTGCCAGATAGCCAGGAGCTGAGGCTGTGAGTTTATAGTTTCCAGGTACAAGCAATCTCCAGTAATCACCATCCTTTGCTATAAGAAAAGTGAGCACATAATTACAAAGTACATACATGAAACGCATAATTTCACCACTCAAGAAATACTTATTACACCCCAGTTCAACTACTTTGAACCCTATTTTAAAAGTACACTTAATTCTCACTTATCAACTATCTTATTACCCAACGTGTTGTATACACAAGGATAGTGAGAACTCAATTGAACTATTTTGTGCAGTATTGAAAACTGAGGTGCAATGTGAGAGGAGCATTGTCTGTAATGGTAAAGGTTACATGTCCGGTTATGACTCTCAACGTACAGTAGTTGTCCTCCATTTATTGATCTGATGTGACCACTATTGCATAACGTCAATTTTCGCATAACAACCTGGACTTTGGAACCTAAGCATGTTGAGATGTTAGTTCTGAAAGTAGGTGTTTATGACACTTGATGAAATGTCATTAAAAATAGGATGAAGCTCTTTCTATGGAGCCTTTTTAGCTATTTTACAGCTATTAGTGTTAGCTTGTCTGATGGTCTAGTGGCAAGAAGCTGCACTGCCATCCCTAAGGAACATGATTCAAGTCCACCAGCTTCTCTGAGGGAAAAGATGGGCAGTCTCCTCCTATACATTATCTGCCTCTGAAAACCCGCTGGAGATCATCTATGGGTCAGTTCTGACTCAATGGTACACAACAGCTCTTCTATGAAATTCTGGAGTAATGCAGGGGGAAAGACACATATTGGTCCAAAACATATGTGAGGGCAGAACATCTGGACATGATATTTTCTTTCTTGCCCTCTATCTTGCCTGATCAAGACACAGTAATCTGAATGTCTACACTGGTGCTTCACAGTTTTTGGTCCAAAGATAACTTCATCAGATTCCCTGAAGTGCTAGTCAGAAATTTAGATTTCTCCAGATGAAGAATACTTTAGTCTAGATTGCCTCTAATAAACTACAAAATCAGAAAGTTCTCTACACAATTTTTAAGCAAAGCAGGGCTATGTTTCATGTTCTTTCACCCTCCCCATAGCCACAGTTCCTCCATAGCATAGATGCTCTGCCATAGCCCACCACAGCCCCTATAATAACCCCTCTGACACTAAGGCCTTCAACTTACTTGCTTCTCTCCTCAGGTTGTAAAATCAATGAACCTTGGATAATTTCCAGCTCCTTGTCCTATTCTATCCCTGCCCCTATGGTGCAAAGGTCTAGACTAGATAACATATATTTGTGCTCATCTGTCTCCAATCTGTAAACATCACACATACAAGTGATCGTTCTTGCCTTGCGGTCCTTCTACATTTTCTTAGATCGCCCACACTCTCCTTTTCCTTTATTGGTACTTCTCAAACTTAGGGGTACAGCAATCATGTGAGGATCTTAGTAAAATGCAGATTCTGATCTGGAGTGAGGCCTTGGAGTCTGGAATTCTAACCATTCTACAATAATGCTAAAACTGCTGAGAAGGGATCACAATTTGAGTAGTGGAAAAATAATCCTTTCTCCGTGTTTCTAATACTTCCAGCATATTCCCTTCATCCTCTGACTTTCCATTGATGTTTTCCTGTTTTCTCTATTGATGTAAAAAATGTAGAAACGTCCAGGGGGAAAAAATAGTCTTCTGTCACCATGTCTTCCAAACTACCATTAGTCTCCACATTTGTCTCTAGCTATTGCCTCTTTTTATTTGCTTAAACACAAAATTTCTGGGAAGATTTATAAAAAGTCTTTCTCTAATGTCTCTCTTGGTGCCATTCCAATCAAATTTCCACCACTCCACTGGAACAGATTTTATCAACACCCTCCAAACTGTGAAATCTGATTCATAAACATCACCTCATGTGATACTTTTTGTTTGCTTTGCTTTGGTTTTGATACACTTTTCATTTGACTTCTAGGTAAATGTACTTAATTTTCTTTCCACCTTAGACTCACTGCAAGCTCCTCATTATCACCTGGACCTAAAGAAAGCAGAAGTGTCCCAAAGTCCACTCCTTAGGTTTCTTTGTCAAGAAAATTTTTCAATGGCACATTAGCACTCACAAAAAATATAGGTCCCTTCTGGCCAAAGTGGACCAAAGCCTGAGCTTGATCTTCAGCATCCACCCCAATGATCACAAAGGGATCAGGTTCTGTAGTAGTTGGCACAGATTCTATATATTAGTTGGGAAAGTCTACTTACACTTAGTATGCTGAGAATAAATATGTTTGAATGAATGAATAAATGGTATGTTGGAGGACAGACATTAAGGAAAACTTATTCAAGCTACAGATATAGTTTGGGTGATAAATGAAACATTATACTGTCTAAAATATGTGTGCAGTTTATGGGTAAAAATATATTACTATATTTAAATGATATTAACAAGTTAAAGTTACATGAAAGTAAAATAGTTACAGATATTCTTTTAAACAAGAAAAGATAAATTAGCAAGTGAAAGACTATGTCATTATTGCCAAAAGGGAAAATGGAAATAGAATTCTAAGCCTAGAAATAATAAATATCGTATCTCAATCTTGTACTATCCTGTACAGTTTTGAGTCATTTGACTACTCTTATCCTCAGCTTCTTTATGAATAAAAAAGGGATTTATTAAATCACCCCTGGATTAAATAAAGAAATGTAGGAGAAATTTTTTTTTTTTGATGAAACAAAAATCTTTATTTGTAAAATGACTACAAGGAGAAATTTTTAAACACACAGTGTACATTTCTTTTCCCTATTCCTTTCAGATGATCCCTCTGGCTGCCCACTAATTCACAGCTTGTCAGTACTTTCAGAGATGAGACCAGAGCACAGATAGATTGAGTCCTTTTCATCTGAAAAATAACAAATTGCACTGGAGGGCCCCATCTCACAGTTACTGAGTGAGCTCGCTAAGGAAAGGGCGCCATCTGCTGAACCTTGATTTCCAAATGCAGCAGCAATATGAATTTAGCTCCCCCTGACCTCCCACAGGTAAAACGTAACTAAACAGAAGCTAGGGGAACAAAAGTATGGAGAAATGAGACATTTAATGGCTTTTGTTTAGAATATTGTAATAGTTTCAGTTATTATAACAAGTTACAATTATTATATTACTTCGTGTAATGCTACACTCTTCAGATAACGGAGATAGAATACCTACCAGATGTAATATCATGGTCTATTCCTTCCACAGAAATAGTTGCATTGGCAATTGGATTACCTTGATGATCTCGGACAAATCCTTTAACCCCTCGGTGTATCTGTGAAGGTCAAGAACAAGCAAAAAGTCCATATTAAAAATAACCTGTAAAGATGTTTCATGTCAAGGATCTTCTTATTTCCTAGCAAAATACTATTTAGATTACCACTGTTTTTTAATTTTTTTATTATTATTAAATTTTATTAGTTTTAATGAACATTTACAGGGATTTGGGGTTTTCATTCCTTCATTGCTGCACCATTCTCTCTACCCTCCTCCCGAGTTTCTTCTTCTTCCCCCGCCATCCGAATGTCTGTTTTAATTGTCCAATTGCCACAGTGTTTGTCAAAGTCAGTTCTGATTAATCTCCTTTGTCAGTGTGTCCTTTGCCATTCCCTATCACTCCTCCCTGAGAGAGACTTCACCCTGATTCATAAGGAAAAGGGGATGGCATATTCTCTTAGCTACTTCCTGCTGAAAAGGGACACTGTGGGTTTCAGGGTGAATATCTTCTCTCACTACTCTAAAGGGCCCCTTTGGCAGCAGGAAACACATAGACTATTATGGAGATTGATTTTGGAATTTCACTGTTGTTATGTGTCATCAAGTAGAATCAGAGCCTGCTCATAGCTGACCCTCCAGGAGGTTTTGACCAGCTATAAATCTCACAGGAGGAGATTGCCTAGCTTCCTCTTTCAGAAGAGCTGGTGGATTTAAATTGTATGCCTTTCTGTTGTCAAGGCAACTATTTACAACACTAAGTCGCCAGAGCTACCTTTCTTTTTCTTGGTAATGGACAAGTAATCCCCTTAAAATTGAAGCTTTAAGTCAAAGAAAGAATTCGAAATACCTTTCAAACTATTTACATATATATTTAAAGTTGTCATAGTTATGAAGTCTTAGACTTCAGCATATTTTATTATTTGTTTACTCTCTTTAATTTGGTCTCCCTTATATTACTGCTATCAGTTAATAGGAATATTATATTATAGCCCTTTACAACTGCTTATTCTGAATGACTACTAGCATTGGCCACTTTGAATCAGATAAGCATATGGTATACTATGCTGGGAATGAAAAAACAGAAGAATGATATTGCATTTATAGTAAAATAGTCAATTTCAAGTTCTACACTGATATACAATGTTGTTAATGATAGCGTATTATCCATAAGCATACAAGGAAAACTCATTGACACGACTATCACTCCTACATCTAGTGCTAAAGAAGAATTTGATAATTTTTACCAAATCTTGCAGTCTAAAATTACCTGAACATGCAATCAAGATGCACTAATGATTATTGGAGCCTGGAATGCAAGAGTTGGAAACTGTGAAGAAGGAATGTTGTTGACTTCTGTCAAGTTGAACATGACTCATAGTGACTCTATGAACAAAAGACCTGATGCCTTACTATCTTTGTTTCTACAAATCCATAGCGTTTCCATAGGCATGTGGTTTAGGAAGTGGATGCCACTCCTGCTTCCAAGCCTGTCTTAAACTGGGAGTTCCACCAAATACTGTCCACCTTGGACAACCATTATGGCATCTGACACCCCAATGGCACAAGGTTCAGCATCACAGCAAACCCAGATTACCTCAGCCCAGCATACTAACAGAAGAGTAATGTACAATTTAGAAAAATGTTCTTCCAAAATATAACAACACTAGTCTCATTTAGCAATGGTTAAGTGCCATCAATTCAAATATGACTCATAGTGATCCCGTGAACAAAAGACCCGAACTCTGTTCTACAACTAACATGAAGAGCTATGAAGAAGGAATAGTAGTTAGAAAATAGAGGCCTGGTGACAAAAATGAAGCTGAAAATAGAATGATCAAATTTTATGTTTTCAATGATTTATTCATTACAAATACCTTTTCTAAAAGACATAAACCAAACCAAAGTCTTTTTTAAAAGACTTTACACATGGACCTCACCTGATGGGCTGCATAGGAATCAGAATGACTATATCTGTGGAAGGAATTGTTGGAGAAGCTCTATATAGGCAGTCAAAACTAGGCCAAGGGTCAGACCATCAATTACTCGTGTCCAAGTTCAAACTGAGGTTGAAGAAAATTAAAATAAGTCCATGAAAACCAAGATATGATCTTGAATCTATTCTATCTGAATTTCAAGGTCATCTTAAGAGTAAGTTTAAAGCATTGAACAGTTGTGGGACAATATCAAGGATATCATCTGTCATTAAGAAGACAGAAGAGAAAGTAAAAATAAAATGGTTGTCAGAAGAGCCTCTAAAACTTGCACTAGAGCATCAAGAAACCAAAACAAAGGGAAGGCGTGCTGAAATAAAAGAGCTTAACAGAAGATTTCGAAGGGCAGCTCGAGAAGACAAAGCAAAGTATTATAATGGAATGTGCAGAGAGCTAAACTTGGAAAATATAAAGGGAAGAACTAGCTCTGCACTTCACAAGGTGAAAGAACTGAAAAACAAATTTGAGCCTCGAGCTGCAATACTGAAAGATGCTATGGGCAATATATTGATGGAAGACATTAAGCTGAGTGAAATATCTCAGTTACAAAAGGAAAAATACTGCATAGGATCACTGTTCTAAAAACAGGATGGACATGGAGGAAGGGAAAGTAGAGAAAGAATGGATAAATAATAAACATTATACTGGAATGGGAGAAGAGGGTATCTGAAGGGAATGGATAATATGGCAATTGAAAATGTGGAACAAGACATTAAAAACTGAATCTGGGAATAGGGAACGGGGGAAATGTGTATCAATGAATAAATGAAAATCAATCCTTTCTACAAACTTTCACCAAAAGAAATTTTAAAAGTGTTTGCTATTTTTTGTAAAAACCCTATAAAATAACACCACTCTTTTCAAAAGTCAAATAACAAATGATAATATATTATTTACAATATCAATAACAGGTGATCATTTTATTGGCAACTAGTATATTGAGAAAAGATTAAATACATTTTAAAAAAATTATGACTTAGTAAATCTTTCACACTTTACCAAGATTTTTCTATGAATCAGCCAACCAAAATTGAAAGACAGAAATTTAACCACTGGAAACATGAAAAGTTAAGTTTTTCAGATGAAATTCACATGGTGAGAGAGTGGCTGGCGATCAGAATAGCTATGGGGAGGAGAAAAAGGGGTGGAGATGACACAGAAGAGAGAACCAGAGAGAAAAAAAAATAAAAATTTTGAAATTCTTAACATGAAGATTATTATTATTGAAAGTAATTTAGGAAGATTCTGTCATGAAAAGGAGGACACACAAGTATTTTATTCATTTTGAGGCACTGTAGTCCTAAAATTAGTCATATTATTCATCTTAACAGTATAGAAGATTACATTTCCTATTTGGACCAAATGTGATAATCACTGCAAAAACAAAGTTTGCCTATTTTAACTCACATATACAAAATTAATTATTCATTACATTTTTTTTACTTCTCTAACTTAAGATATATATTATAGTTTAAATTTTAGTAAATAATATTACTAAATGTCTACCTCTCATATATCCATTACATGGCACAATGTGAAAGATTCTACTTTAGAAAATTTTGATCTTCTAAATCTCAGTAGAAAATTCCCTAAGTACATGTTGTTGTTATGTACCATCAAGTCAGAACTGACCCATGGCTGACCCTCTGGCGGGTTTTCAGAGGCAGTAAACCGTATGAGAGGAGATTGTCCATCTTTCTTCCACACAGCAGTTGGTGGATTCAAACCTAGTGTCTTTGGGATTGCAGCACAGCTTTTTACCACTAAGCCATTAGAGCTCCCTGAATATACAGGGAGTTTGCTAAAAGTGGGGACTCTTAGGTCCTTCCCTGCAGGGATTATGATTTAGGGATTGTGTATTTTCATCAGAAACTCTAGAGTATGACGATGTAGGTGCCTATGAAGAAATCTTTTTAAAAATAAAATTTTTTATTTTATTTGTGATTATGACAAAAGCTTACAGAACAGTTAGATTTTAATTCATTCATTGTTGCACATTTTACTCCCCCACCCCGTTCACCTTTTTTTTTTTAAATTCATTCATTGTTGCATAATTACCTCCCTTCCCCCCAGTCCTCTTTCCAATATAACTCTTCTTCTTGGCTGTTATCATAGGTACAAAGTCTAATACTATATTCTTTTTAAACAGTTCTTTCCTCCATCTGTTCCAATACAGTGTTCATTATTTATCCCCTCTTATTTTCTCCCCAGCCCACATGTCAGTCCTGTTTTGAAAGAGTGAAACACTAGACTATTCTAAAGCTATCCTGTACAGGAGGCTCTGCTCCTTAGCAAACTATTTACTCTCCTTACCTCACAATTACATGCTTTTAAAACTCTATAACAGATTTCCTCTCACCAAGTTACTGAATTAGATCTCCTAATCACTTGTTTTTCATTAATTGAAAAGCACTCCACATGTTCTTTGGGCCCAGGTGTTCAATAATTACTGATCAACACTATATTCTGTTTCATTATGAAGAAAACAATTACAACACAGAATTTCTGGCAGTCTTTGTTGATCTTTCATCAACCTGTTATTCGATAAATCCAGAGTTTTCCATATGGCAAGCTTCAAGAGCTCGTTATAAATACCTCTATAACTGCTTCCACACACAGCTTGCACAACACCAATGCCATAATCAGGGTGGATTATGGAGTTCTGTTGACAGATCTAATTCCCACTCCAAATGACATAAAATAAAAACCAAATGACCTGGATCTTTTTCTTTTAGCTGACTTCTATGTAAATCGATATAACTATTATGTGAATTAGATGAATGGCCATCTACCACAAAACTATGACAAATATTCTCTTCTTTACTGATGGCATGAATCTGTGTTTGATTTTTTTTTTATATTGCCTTTAAAAAAAAACAAAAAAATCCCTCCAATATTAGAATTAAGTATCAGCAGAAATTTGCTTTTATTGTTAATATAGATTGGATTGTGTCCCCACAAAATTGTGTCAAATTGGATATGCCATGATTCTCAATAATTATCCTCCACTTTGTGATCTGATGTCATTATGTATTCTAAATCCTAACCTTTGACATATAGGGGCTCG